ATTACAGGAATCTGCAGCAGGGGTTCGAAAAAATCGAGACGATGTGCGGATTGTTGCAGAGCTATTACAGAGCGCCACTATTGGAAATATGCTATTGTGTGCTCTAGAATGGTTAGCTCTAAATTCGGCTGTTGTAAAAAACATTATTCTTAAAAATGTCTGACCACTGATCATACAATGTGTTAATCACCAATACAACATTTTTTGCAAAGACAATGTATTTTTTTATTTTTTATACGACCCACCCTCACGTCTACTGTGCAGACCTCGGTACTTCTCACATTCAATTCGTTTCCTCGCATCGCATTATCCACGAAGATCTTGTAGCTTTCTTTTTACGTGTGGTTTCGGCTGCTGCTTGAGGATTTTCATTTAATCTTGGATGTCCTAGAATACTAGTCGAGTCGATTCACACTGGAGCCCTGAGATACGCTGGCTAAAGCGTTCCCAGTTGGATTGCAGAGAGTGGTCTTTTTCCCGGAAGAATCCGGTACCAATTTCCCAACTCTGGAGAGATGAAAGATTTAATTAGCCAGGAGTGGAATCGAACTAGCACCACGCTCGTGATAACCTATATCACTACCATTGTGCTATCCTCCTCATGATTATTAATTATAAGCAAGAATTACAAGTTTTAGGTAGAGTTTTTTGATTGTGTAAGAGCCGAAAGTTATAAGTGGTAGATGCAATTTTTTCAGTTACGGGAGAAGGGTATCCGTCGATTTTGACTTCAAAGCAAGAACTGCAAGATTTTACTGCTTTTAGTTAATATTGTTTTCTTTTGTTGCATACACATACATATTGAATTAAGGCATAAAAATGTAAATTGTAAGTTTTAAAATAAATTTAGGATAGAAAAGTGAGATGATGTATTCTTCGAATGACAAACTGTATTGAAGTGCATTGATGGAAGCACGAAAGCATCGCGCCACTCTGAAGAAGTCTACACAATGGTTTAGCATCTTGCTATAGCTAGAAGCTCTCTCTAGGTGCCGTCTCACAATGTTCGAGTAGATACGATTGCGCACTTTGTCTCTTCACCCTCCAAATCCTCAACACTTCATACTGTCTTCAAAAGCAAAAGTATTTCGCCAGAACCTCAACTATGCTGGGATATTTGCGAAATTTGGGGGGCCACTTGAGCTTCGAACCAGTAATTACCTCTTCCGGAGGTTCGGTTGTTATCCACTGCACGTCCGAGACCTTTGCTTTCTAACGGTTTTCGCAAAATAATCTTCCATGAAAAATAATATGCAGTAAGTAAAAGTTAAACATTATGACTTCGACTGCAGCCTTAGCTTCATCGTGCTCAATGCCGATTTGAGCTTTTCAGATCAGTCCTATTGATGAGTGATTGCTGACAACACTATTCGGGTAAAAAAACTGGCTGAGGGGAAGACAACGCAACGACTCCGGTGGTTCAATGGATAGCATACGAGCCCCGCATAGGATAATCGCTAGTTCGAAGCTCATTTTGGGTTCTGAGTTTCACAAATAACTCAGCATTGCTGTGGTTATATTTCACATAGTACCTTCCATTGAAAAAATAATAGGGAGTAAATAAGAAGCCAAACATTAGGGCTTTTGCCGCGAATGGCCTGGATCCAAAAGAGGTTTCTTTTCGAAAAATATTAAGTGCAGAGCATAATGTTTTGAAGTGACTCGCAAGTTATGGAATCAGTGCACGACAGGCTATCGACAGAATAATACCTAATAGGCGTGTTAAAAACTTCTGTTTACCAATGAGCAGTTGTGTACCCATTTCGGAACACGCGGTCAGGTATATGATCGGAAGCAGCAGCGATCGGTTGCCAACAAAAAGTTTTCAGCATTTGATTCACGATATCTTTAACTGTGGTCAATATCAATTCATTATTGTCTGCTCATTTATTCTTTTATATGCTAAACGCTATAGGGTGCGTGTGGCGCAGTGGTTGGAGGCGCCAATGCAACGTACACGTGGAATCGATCTCCGCGCCCATAGCCCGCCTAGCCCTCCATTTCCTAGAGGTCGGCAGAATGGTGCCAGATGGGAGTATAGCAGCACTGGCTCGATACATCTGTAGGCCACCACAAGTCATTGTAAAGGCTACATGAGCATTCAATAACCTCCAAACGATGCTTAATGAAGTCGAATGCATGGCGCATCCCTCAGGGATTGACCAACGCCGAGAGCTTTATTCTTTTTCAACGCTAAACCCTCAAATATTATATAAAGCAAAAAATTTCTTTTATTTGATTTTAAATCTGGTTATCTATTAAGGTCTTCGAGTACGTATATCGGTTGAGCTGCCAACTGAGAAGTTGGGTTCTTTGCAATGAATGTTACAGAGTGTTGATCATGTTGATCTCCATGAAATTTATGAAGAGTTCCGCCTGAACGTTCCCAATTCTTCAATACTGCATGTTGCTGGACTTGACAGTTCGAAGGGAGTTTCTCCTAGATAAGTATGGCGTTTGGACGAAGAGCTTGCCGTGATTGAGTTAATGCATTTCGTCTTCAAACGTTGTGTTTCCAACTACCAGTCGGTTGTAACCAACGAATAAGAAATTAAGGTGTTCTTTCTGGATGCCTTTAGTTTTCATCAACGCATTTATTACCTCTGGCATTTTGAAAACCAAAAGAAAACATGAAACCGTAGATGATTCAAAACGTTTTGTGCCGTGCATGCGACGTCAACTCTTCGCCTGGAGGCTTCTTGTTTACCGCGATTTTATTTTGAAGCTACTGAAATGATTTTAAAAGCGACGTTTGTTTCTAACCAATAAGGTTTTATTGAGATAGATATTTCTTAAAGTTTCATCAACGCTGCGAAGGGTTACGGTGCTATCATAGCTAGGAGCTGTCCTCTCCTGTTGAGTTGCAATGTAGGCGCTATACTGGCAGACGCTGTACAGTTTAACAACAGTGATGCTGAGATATTTGCAAAACTCCGGACCACAGATGCTTGCGGTGGAAATCGAACGCGCTATTACCCTTTCCGGGGGGTTAACGCGTTCACCACACATCATGTGGGTTTTCGTTAACAATCACCTGACGACGGAATTGATCTATGAAGCACAAATCGGTAATAACGCAGTTAAGTCCCCGGGAAGGGTAATAGATCGTTTGTTCCCCACCGCAGACACCTGCTGACCGGAGTTTTGCAAATATCTCAGTATTATTGCAGTTACATTTCATAGCATAAGCTGCCATGAAAAATAAGTAGGAAATAAGTAAAAAATGTGATTGCATTGTGCATACATACTTTATTTTTACTTTTTCATTGATTGTTAGCCCAAAAATAACTACCCTTGGCTGCTCAGACCGCTATTGACAGGAATGGTGCATGTTATTTTCATACTAAGCTTCTTAACCTGAGCAAAAGTAAACTTGGAGCCTACATGCTAATTGTACCTCCTTCAACGCTTCGCATTTAGTAAAAACGGAAAATATTAAGTGGGAGTCCATCCTTTACGTCCCTCGAATGAATGAAACCTGCTGAGCATCTTTTGTGCGCTATTGGAAATACTATAGCTCATAGTCGTTGATTTTTTTTGTAATTGGTAGGACTATATGTGACTTCTTTTATTAATACTTTGTAATTTTTGTCGCTGTTTTTTAATTGAATCTCTTACTATTTCTTGAGTTTTCAAAAGATAGACATTACAGTAGTTCGAAGTAAGTCTTGAGAAAGGTGTATTTCTGTCAACCTGTTAAAAATCGTTAAGAAAAGTCCAGTGAAATTTAATAGAATTATTTCTATGTGTTTTATTAGATTTCATCACTACATTTTTACCCAGAGCTTGCGCGGCGCAGTGGTCGGAGGCGTCCCGCAACACACACATGAGATCGATCTTCCTCGATTGACTCACGAAGCCTTCCATCCCTCCGGGTCGGTGAATTGGTGCCAAACTTTTCTGGGAAGGAAAGCAGCACTGGCTCAATACATCGCTAGAGCACCTCGAGTCGTTGGAAAGCCTAGATATGCATTCAATCGCCTCCAATGGTGATTAATGAATTCGATTGCACGGCGCATCCCTTAGGGATTGATCAACGCCGAAAGCTTTATCGTTTTTATTTCTTCATATTTTTGTCCTACGAAGTTTAGTACCACGACCTTTAGTTTTTGTAGTAACTGCCACGACCGACTTTCTATTAACCTCGGCATTGATCAAGTGATTTTCTTCGTATTTTTGTTGAGCAAACGCGAGGTGTTACTATTCTTTGTTCACGATTAAACTGACGTTTCGGCGAATTTCGCCTTCTTCAGAGCCTGGAAAGGTCAAGTTGATAGCAACTCACCCGGCCAGACGCCTCCATAACCAAACAAAGAAACTCCAAACCAAGATTTCAATCACTTTGAACACAGCTCTGCACACTCACCGCTTTCAATGAGGTTTCCACTAAGTATGTCACGTAGAGACCAACCGCACAGAAATCACGTGGAAGTATAATGTGCCCCTCACATCAGAAAAGCAGTTTTATATACTGCCCTATATCACGCGTGATAATGAGGCATTCTTCCCTGCGGTTCATTTTCGGATTTCTGGAATTAATCCAGAGTGCCTCGAGAGTTTTTCGCGCCTGTGTTCTTGATTCGCGTGCGAGGATCGTGACACATACTTCGAAGTCGTCCCCGTTATGTCTCTGGGTCCTATGAGTGCCTAGCGGGGTATTTGGTCTATTTTTGCCGGCTAGGTGTTCTTTCATGCGGACACAGAGGGGTCTACCCGTTTCGCCAATGTATTCGTCACCACACGTCTTACAGGAGATCAGATAAACTATACCCGAGCTCATGCAATCACCGTCTCTACCACTGGGGCAAATTATGCAATTTTGAGTTGCACATAGACGGTCATATAGGCGGGAACGGCCTTTGTTCTAGCTCAGATAGGAGAAGAAAGTTTGGTCGTCGTCTCTGAATACATTTTTCTTTCTTAACATTCGTTCTAAGAATGTGATTTGTGGTTCATTCCAGGTAACTGGTAAATCATCGAAGAGTTTATCAAAATGTTATTCAGAGATTGATGCTATCGACAATAATGACATGATAGTCGAGTACACATCGCATTGCTTCCATGAAAGCCTCGCCATTAGACACTGTGAATCCAGGCCGTAAAGACTCACCAACGTCGAGAACAATGTTGTATTTACCCGGAGACGCTCCAGAAGTTCGTCTAAATAGTGATTTGTTAGCCTTTGATACTAATTTCGACTGGTGGTCAAGTGTCTAGAACTTTAGTGCTTTTTTATTTATTTCACTTTACACGACATTAGATAACGTGCCGATTCCGTCATTGCTTTCACTCGATCAGGTTTTCTCCGTCCCATATCTACAAAGCTCATTGATTTGAGCGTGGGTTCGACTTTTACATGAGGACTGTTTGTCTTTTTTATGAACCGTATTGAATAGTCGAGTACCTTTCCCTGAAACGCCAGCATAATCTTCAAAGCGTTCTACTGTCCTCTCCACAGCAATCGCCAACCTTTGTAGAATTAAAAGCGGCTTTTTCCGGTACGCCGGGCACCACATTACAATCATGGTGGAGAAGCTTGATTGGAATATGAATGTGTCGTTTTCTTGTTCAGCAATCGCGAGGTTTTTAAACAGCATACATTTACTTCTATAGAAAAATACAATACAATACAACACTAGCTGACGTTTCGGCAGTATCGCCTTCTTCAGAGCCTGGAAGGGTATACTGATATACAATCTACTAGGCCAAACGCTTCAATAACAGTTACAAAAAGATGAAAGACTCTTTGGTAATTACACGATCAACAACTTCGCGAAAAACCCACCGCTTTTTCGTGACTTCCAATGAGGAAGTTTAGAACAGCTGATTATAGTCGCATGTGGTTGACGACTGCACCATCCCACATCAAAAATCGATGCGAACGTACGGGATTAGGTCGCGTATGGCCTCCGGGCATTCATCCCTGCTATTCATTATAGGGTTTTTTGGTGTGGGATGGTGCAGTCGTCAACCACATGCGACTATAATCAGCTGTTCTAATCTTCCTCATTGGAAGTCACGTAAAAACCGGTGAGTTTTTCGAGAAGCTGTTGATCATGTAATTACCATAGTTTTTCGTCTTTTTGTAAGTGTTATTGAAGCGTTTGGCCTAGTAGATTGTATATCAGTATACCCTTCCAGGCTCTGAAGAAGGCGATACTGCCGAAACGTCAGCTAGTGTTGTATTGTATTGTGTTTTCATGGAAGTAAATGTATGCTGTTTAAAAACCTCGCGATTGCTGAACAAGAAAGCTTGATTGGCCCAACATGGGTCGAACCACACTCCTTGTACTTATTGACTGACATCTCAGCTATTGCACTACTCGATGTCTTATTAATATCATTTTTAGAAAGCTTGCATAATTTTAATACGGGCATTGAGTGAAATAGTATTTTAAAATTTTGTTTAATTTTTCATTCTTGTCTACCTTTCGAACCTATTCGATTGAACATGCATTATAGTCAGCCGTAAAAGTTTGGTCTACCTTTTCTGCCTACTAGCTGCTCGACACTCATTTCCGTATAAGCTTATAGTTTTTTCTTTCATGGCTTCAACAGCTTAACCGTACTTACTTGAACACTGGAACGACCACTGTTCACATGGAGTATGGTTTCAGTATTGCTTTCATTAGCTGCTTTATCTAATAACCATTGTGGCTTGAGCTAGGCTGAGTGAATCAAGATGCGACTTGAGGGATCAGTTACTTTCTCTCCTTATTATTAAATGTTAACCATGTATGGTTTTTCTTAGAAACCCGGTAATGTCGTGTCAGGGGTTTCTTTCGCGTAAGCCGAGGTCTCCCTAATCTTAAAGGATAAGACATGAGGTTCCTTCCGACTTCAATCCGCCAACAACGGAAGAAATTTCTGTGGTAGCTGAGAATTTTGGAATTAGTAAACTGACCACTGGAAAATGATGTGGAAGTCAATGATGTACCACTACTTACGAAGGTCACATGTTTTCAATTGCGTTTGCGATTCTTAATCATGGCAGCTTCCTCCTCCTTCAATTCTCTTGCTGTCCTTGTTACAGTAAACTGTTCAACTAGCCTATATTGTTCCATGAATGGTGGAAGAATTTTGGTGGAAAAAAAATTATGTAGTAGAATTAACACCTTTTGACGTCAAGAGCCCAGTAAATTGTTGCTCGTGATTTTCCCCAAATCTTCGCAGGTGAAGAGCAATTACTTGTCCTTTGTTCCTGAAATAGCTTGCATCAGCATTTAAATTAATTAAATCAATGTAGAAGGGGTGCATGTGGTGCAGTGGTTGGAGGCGCCACTGCGACATACACGTGGAATCCATCCCAGTGCCCATGGCCCGCTAAGTCCTCCATCCCTCCGGGGTCGGCAAATTGGTAGCAGGCTTGTCTGGTAGGATAGTAGCACTGGCTCGATACATCGGAAGGCCACCGCTAATCATTGTTAAGGCGAGATATGCATTCGGTTACCTCCAACGATACCTTAGTGAAGTCGAATGCATGGCGCATCCCTTAGGAATTGATCAACGCCGAGAGCTTTATCCTTTATCTTTTTAAATCAATAGAGAATTCCCACGGAGTGATGGATTTCAATTTTAAATGAAAAGGCTTATTAAAATGTTAGCAAATGTGAAATGACATCTATTCCAAGCTGGTATTCCACAATACTGTGATGCTGCCTCACCAAGATGAGCTCGTGAGAACTCAGAAAACTATTCAGTGCTCAGATTAGTTCATAGCCGTTTTTTGAAATAGCTGATATTTTAGCTGATTAAAGAAAAATAAATTGGGTTAAAGCACTGAATTTGAAAACGCAAACAAAATTGTAATTCGTGAACTCACCTTCTATTCGAGAATCTACGAGAAATTGCGCTGACTCCCTCTACTTCCCAACTGAGAGCTTGAACCCTGTTTTATCGGTAAGAAGGTTGGGCATCTTGGAGTTTTGCTACGTTGAAAATAACATAAGGTGCCACTATAGGTTTAACTGAGCACCTGTGTAGAAATTTCGAACTCTTTTCTGGCTTTCCCACCATGATGCTTAAAGTGCTTCCTTTTTTCTATTCATCGTAGTCCGATGCCCAAGAACACTCCCACTCTAAATTCGAGGCGGCAAACTGAAACGTAATGGATCGTTTCCATTGATATACATTTTTCGTTTTTTGCGTATTTCGGCAATTTTTCTTGTTACTTTGTTTGTTCTAAATCACCTCAAACCAAAGCACTTTGATTGTCGAGACGTCGACGTTTTTCGCTTTCTTTGATGGGAACTGATAGTTTTTGATTTTCACTGAGTATTCGTTCACCTCGACGAAGCAGTCTTCATATAGTATGGCCATAAAAGAATCTGTAATAAATGCTTTCAATAGTTTTAGAATTGCTTGGTAGCCTTGAAAAACAGCTAGAAATTTGTCATCACGCAACAAGCAAACAGGAAGCTCAAAAAAGTCGACTATTTTGCAATGTCTTCCAGTGGCGGGTTCGCAACATGCAAAGACGACGCAAAACATATTGCGAAAGTTATCAAAACCTCAAACAACATCTCAAAATTCCTACTTTGCTCCAACCTCACCATCAGCAATCAAAATGTATTCCTTTTGAAACCGACCGTCGTTAAACCTCGGTACTGTAGTAATCAACACGTGTTTATATTGTTGAGCTTACACGAGGTTGATACGAGGTGTTTATTCGGCTAACGTTTCCACGTCTTCGTCTTGATCAGAGCCGACGATCCTTGTCGATGGTCCACAGTTTGATATGGTTCATGTTCATTAAACGCACAAGTAAGCATGCTAAGAGATTTCTGCAACCATCCACTTCGATTTTTTCACTTTCGCACTTTGGGCTCCTCAACTGGGTCTTTGTTATACTCAGACGCAGTCCAATCTTTTCTCTTGTATCGTTCAGTTAACGCGAAGTTGACAAAAACCTCACTCAGCAACCGTTCCGGCGCCTTCGTCTTTTTCAGAGCCAAATTGATCCAAGTCGATCGTCCACATTGTTCCTTCTTCTGATGTTCGGACGGTACTCCATTGGGCACGACTCGATGCGTTCACGAAGAGTCACATCGGATGAAGAAAGAGCTATTGACAATTGACTCGGATCAATCCGGCTCGCAAGTAATAATTTTTCGGAAATGTTTATTAGCTTATAGTTCTACTTTTTTGCCAGGGTGTCAATCATCAAGTCTCATTCATAAAAGCTCAACGCCATCGTTGTCCCATCTATTTCAGACAAAGAGTTTCCAACGCGACTTCGGCTGCCAGATCTGTCGCCACTTACTGTGCACCATTTGTTGCCGAGCAATGCATCGTTTTAAGCCGAGCATTTGGTTTAAACAAATGAACACATTCATGAAATCATAAGCCAAAAATGACATAAACGACAACGAGTGCTTATTTTGTATAGTTTCCTAGTTCTGGATAGTATTTTCTACTACTAAGTCAGCACTTCTTCCTATATTGTTGCTATCGCCACCGAGGTTCGTATAAAAATTTTGACAAACAATTTTTAAAACTGTATGTTCTACTAGTTTTCGGGTGAGTTGCTCCCTTCCGATGGGTCTCGTTTCAAATCCTACCATTATTTGAAATCAGAAATGGGCTTTCAAGTAAGAATGTTGACTTTCTATGGATGGTTTCTCTTTTGCTAAGATTATCTGTGAACAATAACGTACTGTATAAAAACTCCTTATCATCGCTGCGCCTTCGACTTCGTATGAAGCCGTCTCTGCACATTTTCCGCGAATTACAAATCATCTAGTGTGCAAATGCAGCTGATTAGATGGAGTCTTTAACACGTTCCTATCCATGTTAGGTGCAGAAGTGAACACCCAAGAGAGCACTTTTATTCATTGTTAGGTTACTCTACTGTTCTTCTTTTCGTGTATCTGCCCTCAGTTCTCCCTCTTATACAATATTGCAAGTTTTTTTTTAACGTAAACTAACCCAGATCTCAAATGTGGGATGTTTACTGAAAGTCCGAGTGGTGGAGTTTCCATGCTAAATAAGTGTTCTAGAAAGTTCATGCCTCTCTACACGCGCTATTTTCCTGAGCTATTATGAGGTGTTATAAACGAATCACGTAGGAGATCAGACCCATTAAAATCTACTATTCTCATTTATCACGTGTTTCGAGACAAAAGCTTAGCATTCGCGTAAATACGACTTTATGGGACAGCTATAGGATTATCCACAGAATTAAGAAAGAAAGAAATGTGGAGATTAACCACGGCGGTTAGAGGAAAAAAGGCAAAACTCTCCATGTGACGTCGTTTGTAAAACTCGATTCGCATATTTCTTTCATTGTCATCGCTTCAGCGGGACGAAGGTCGTTTTAAAGCCGAATAAGAGGAAGTGAAGTGAAAAAACAATATTAGAATAACAGGATTAGTAGAATTTCGAAAATCAAGTGAACAGAACAATGAGCACGCGACTTCGCATGCGCTTTTGGACTCCTCGGGTTTTCGCTGCATCACAACATTCGTTGGGAAGAGTTGAACGCTAAACAAGTAGCACCAAAGGTCAGGTTCATTGAGCACGCTAATCACAAGCAATAATGGTAGATCCTCGTATAGCGCTTTTGAGAACTGGAATCAAATGTTAAGAAATACGTCGACGATCAGAAACCTGATCTCTCATCAGACACCAAGGTGTGAAAAATCAGATGGGCAGCTGAAGTGAAGTGTCCTGGCGATAGCCCGAAAACGGAGGCTGTAGATTGCATGCCACCTCAAGCGAGCGGTAAGAAAAACATCGACTAAATGCTCTGAAGTTCTGGCGAATTTGAAAAGTTCTTTAAGCAAAATTCTGGAGCAGCTATGAAACACGAAAGAGACAGTGACGACAAGATTTCAGTGGCTTTGCATTAGTCAGCTGGCAATAAAAATGATAAGGGCAATAAGCACATTATTTAGGGCAAAAAGTTGTTTAGATCATTGTGTCCGCCGTGGATAACCAAAAAAGACAAAGGAAAGTGTTAAAATTTTGATGACAGGAATAGTAGCTGAAGACAAAACAGTTCAACTTCAGAAAATCACTCCGATACACAAATTTTTTCTAACTACTTCTTTACTACTCTTTCTTCATGTTTCTGAAATAAGGCGTAGATAAGCCAACGGTAGTGATAACATCTTTTGTGCGAAAGGCTCTGCTTTGACCCCGTCTGAGGCTAACCAAGCCTCTCATACTTCTGTGCAAGAAATATGAGGCTAAATTCGTCTGAAACGTTGCCTACAATCGATAAGGGTAAAGAACTGACTCGAGTATCCCTAAACGAGATTCATAAAGAAGACAAAAGACCGTCAAGCTGTAGCTGAAGCGGTACACAAATCTAAAGACAGCCGTAAGTGCACGAGGAAAGGAGTCGGTTCCATAAACTGATGAGATACGCACAATATGAGATTTTGTGTCATATGAAATAATTAAATAAATTGCTGAAATGAGAACTTTTTTTTTTACGTTTATCTGTGATTACGATATGCTTCAGAGTTATCTTTGGCCTCTTATGGGAAATACTGCAAAATAATTTGCTGGTGCACGAATTTAATCTCTGAGGACGAAATCTGAAAATGAAGGCTATATTGATTTGGCTTCGCCTAGTTATAGACATGATGATAAGCAATAGAAGCCACAAACACCTCAACGTCAAACTAATAACTTTGGGCGGGGCCTAATCTAGGAAGCACCTCGGCGACAACGACGCCGTTGGCAAAGAAAAACTCCATGAGGAGGATTCGAAACTAATTTAAACGTGAAAATCATACCGGAGTAAACTCCAGTCAAGAAAAAAAAACAATGGTGAGTGGTTCCCACGACCGACCTTCTATTAACCTCGACATTGATCAAATAGTTCTTGATATTCTTGTTGAGCAAACATATACACCCTTTCAGGCTTTGTCTGCCGAAAGGTCAGCGTTGACGGAATAAAGAATAAAGTAACACCTCGTGTTTGCTCAACAAGAATATCGAAAACAATAATGAGTTTTAGAAATCGCTGTAAACTGAATACTTTCTGAATTAGAGAAAGCATCACATTTATTCGTCATCTATAGCAACATCGATGACAAAGAGCAATCGTGCATAGACATGTTCCAATTGCAAATGAGTTTTGCTTTAACACTTGCATAAAAGTAGTTGCGTAAATCAGTCGAAAGCTGCGCATACTTTATTTCGAGTCAAAGCTTAGAGTGATGTGAGAATACCAAACAGAAGTAGGATCACGATATGATATGAAAAATTCTTTCTCTTCTCTCATATTCGTATGATAGAAAAGGATAAAGCACTCGGCCTTGATTAATCCCTGAGGGATGCGCCATGCTTTCGGCTTCATTAAACATCGTTGGAGGTGACTGAATGCTCATGTGGCCTTTACAATAACTCGTGGTGGCCTACCGATGTATCGAGCCAATGCTGCTATCCTCACAAAAAGGCTTGATACCAACTTGTTGACCCCGGAGGGAGCGGTAATCGATTCCACGTGTGCGTTGCAAAGCTCCTCCGACCACTGCGCCACACGCACCCTAATTCTTATGATACCGACCTTAACAACACTTCCAAAATTTTCAAGCAAATTACGCCGTAAGTAAAACCTTATCCTAATTGATTCAAAGAATTGATTAATTAATTAATTAATTAATGAGAATTAATTTAATTGATTCAATTGATTATCAGCAAAGAATTCAATTATACCTGCCACACATCGAAATTTCAAATTGAGCCCTGTTAGTTAGTTTTATGGGCTCTTCGTTACAGTAGAGCTCTTTCACATTGCCCATGTGTGTCAATGATAAAGATGCTATTCAGTATACACAAGGCCGCTGTGGACAAACCTTGCTCCGAGCTATCTCACCATCCTTTGCTTTCAAAGCCATGATTTTGTGCCAAACTTGCCTGGGAGGAGCTCAATCTGATTCAAAAAAGGCTGATGACTACCTGTAGCAAAGATCTCCAAACGACCTGGTAGGCTATCCCGAAAATTTCAAAGCGAATAGATTTAATCAGCTTAAACCAGCGAACCAACCAACCAATCAACGAACCAGCCTTTCATATTTCTCTATGATCTATCCAATGTGATTCCTGCTGTTGTTGGATGCATGCACGGAGCAGATCATATTGGAGACGGAGACCGATCAACACACGTCCTGTAGAGAAGCACACCGCTGAGTGAAGTTCATTATTCGAGTGGTGCTCCTTCCGCTTGATTTGACTCGATGCAACGAACAGCCACTTCGCGAGGACGACCGCTTATGGATCATTGACTCGAATCAATCCGGCATTGAAAGAGGCGGAGACATCGAAACGTTGGTAGAATGTCTTTTTATCAATCTGGCGTTAGCTTG